ATTATATTATAAATTAATTTATATATTATATATATAAAATATATAAATTAAAAAGACATACACACTCTGATATAAGCAGTTACTATCTTTTTTTTCTATCGTTGAAAAGAAAATGATTATCTGGCATGTGTCTCTTACCTTGCATTTTCAAAAGTAGCTGATGCACTGCTTCCTATCGCACCGAAACCAACACCAACGGCAAGGCCTTCAGGAATATTGTGCACCTAAGCAAAGAATGATTAAAATTGCCACGCCATTATTACAGTAAACTTAGAAGATAGATTATTTTTTCTTTTTTGCAATACAATAAGGGAGACAGATAGTATTAAAGTAAAAGAAAGATAGAGAATAAATTTCTTTGGAACATATATAAACGTGTTTACAGCGTAAACAGATAAGATAAAAATAAAAAGAAGACTAAATAAAAGAAAATATTCGTACAGTCAATAAAATATAATGTTTGATTAGAATGTTTGAAATGTTTCATAATTTATGATCAAATAAATAAAGTTAGTATATTTTATCGAAAAAGAATGTTTCTCGTATCTTATAGCCGAATGCTCGGGTAGATTGAAAAGTTTTACTCTTAAATTGTTTCTCTCGATCAAAAAACTTATTTTTATTCTTATGACGTTGTCTCGACAAACTTTTGAAAAAGAATAGGCACGAAACTTTTCAATCAACCGAGAAAGTGATTTTTTTATGGATTAAAATATTCTGAAGTTACTTATTGGCCGACATGATACAAGCCACAATTTACGTGTTAAGTAATCAAAGTTAAGAATATTGTAAGAAAACAAAAAATAAATTCTACGAGATTTATCTTACGTTATAATTATTTATATTACAAAATAAATCATGTGAAATAATATTTTTCTTTCCATTAATTTTTTTAAATTAATTCACAGTGATAAAATTATCAGCATTAATACGCGTACACGGTGCATGTGAAACGCATATGTAAAAACATTATGTACAAAAGAAAATGAATATTTCAACTTACTGTAATGGCTACAACCAAGAGCAATATTCTCCTCCATTGATTATTCTTAATTTCGTTACTAGGATCTTCATAAACTGTACTCATCTCGGCCATTTCCGATGGCCTATGTATATTGGCAACTTGTCTTCTTCTTGCATTTTGTTCGTAAAATCCTGAAAAAGATCGATATAATGGTGACATTACGATGATTCCCCATTTCAACAACTAATTCGTTTCAATAAACTTTTCTTATTAGATTCCATGGAAGCGCACAGGCGTATCACATGCAAACAAAATATTATTGCCTATTTTTTATATTGGCTTTTTGAGGGCCGATTTTAATTTATATTATTATTTTTTTTTTCAAATTTTTTATAATTAATTCAATTTGCAGGCAGAACGAAGAGATTAAGTTTTGAAGAAAATATTGGTACCACTTGGCAGAGATTCGATGGAAAAAGGGGCTTTTAAAAAGGGGATTTAATATATTACATTTAATTTATAATTTTATAATTTAATTTTTCTTTTTTTTTAATATCTGTTTTGTTGGTTACAGTTTCAACACATTTTTCACACGTCACTTTTTATTATATAAAACTTCCTTCACATCCAACACATCACACGCTTTTAAATTCACGTTATTTAATAACACATTTTTTATTTTTTTTAAAGTTCAATTATAATTTTGTTAAATTGCTTTTTTAAAACGCAGAGAATCTGAGCCTAAGGGTACCAGTTATATTAATTATGAATATATCTACCGTGCATGCATTTATAGATCTGTATATAAGTATGTAATAACTCTCACTAATAGACTAATCTAAGTATTACGAATACATTAACAAACTATTTAGTATCAGAATAACGTGTCTCAAAACGGATTTGATATAATTCCTGGAATAAGCATTATTAACGAACTACGATATGTTGAGTTATTTGAAAAATAATTTCAATTTGCTCCAATGGCAAAATATACGAGAAGATTTGATAAACGATCAAACGTATACGTGATTGAATTGAAAAGTTTTGTGGTTCAACTAAAAAGAAAGAATATTAATTTATAAAACTTAAAAAAGGAACTTTTACAAACGAAAATAATTATTTCTATGTTAAGTTCAAAACTTTTCAACTTCACCACGTATATTTTAATTTTGTTCAGTAATTACTCTATCTCTTTTTATACATAAAATGTGTATATTTTGTATTAGAAAGTAAACAAATAGAAATAGAAATAATTATTGTCCTAACAGAAGATGCTTATTCCTGGTTTTTAAAGTTAGTTCGAAACGTTCGCCTTATACGAGGACACAAAGCAAAAAGAGGGGCGAGTATACAGCGACGTTCGTCTTCTCCTTTTTTCTTTCCCATTTCTCTTTCCCTTTTTCACGATAACACGATGATAATAATAATTTATATAATTAATAAATAATAATTAATATATATAATATAATAATTATAATTATAATTATAATAATAGTAGTAGTAATAATAATAATAACAATAATAATAATAGTAATAATAATAATGATGAATTAGGCATACATGTATACGTACAATGGATTGGTTAATAAGTAATATTGGAATTTGAAGCTATTTATATTGAAATAAACAACATTATTATTTTGCATTGTAAAACTCTTTCTTATCTTATATTCAATTAAAAATAAACCTATCAATATTATGAGTCATTACTTTTTATTACAAATCTTTTTAACACTTTTTATCTACGAATAAAGAAATAATTAAATATAAAAATATATTTTCCGTTCGAACAAATAACCACCGTTTTATAAGGTATCACTTTATTTTCTATGAAAATAAATAACGCTTAAGTACATATCGTTTAATTAAAAATTCTATTAACATTTAATATCTAAATAAATAATCCTAGTATCTTCTCTCTACTTAAGATTAAAAATTCCGATATTACTTGTTGATCAACTCAATCTAACACAACTATAAATACATGTGTAGTGTATATATGTGTGTATATATATATATGTGCGTATACTCGTATGCCATTTAAAAGATTATAGATATTATAAGTAAATAATATCAAAAGAGAATATATATATATATAGAAAAATATATAATATAATTAAATTAAAAATATAATCGTAATAGAAAAAACAAAACCGATCTCATATCCCATTATTGTTGGTAAAGCCTATAGAGAGAAGTGGTTGTAAGAAGAAAAAAAGGCGAAATACCATCGATAGTAGTCGAATCGACATGAGTGTACATCATTCCACCGGAAATCTGTACGTCGTTAAACGTATCGATATCGTCTAAGTCCTCGTCACTCTTTAGTTTTGCAAGGACCTTGTCTCTTTGTTTCGTACCGACTGACTGCATAGCTAAAAGCACATTGGGGGACTGAATGCCAAGGGAAGATATCAACACGTCCGTTCCGTATACGAATGCCGCGCCTATGAGAAACCCAACTGCGACCGGTACGAACGCGTATTCCCCTTCGGCTCCATAAATTTTGCTCTCCGTTGCCATTTCAATAGCTGGCGCCAACAAGGACCAATAGCTTGCTGCTACCATCACACCACCGGCAAATCCAAGACTGATGTCCAATAGTTTTCGCTGAAAACAATCATTACAATTGTTACGACAAGTATATATCAATTATTTTCTTTTTCCTTTTGTGTATAATATATTTTAAAATGAGAATTAAATTTTATTTCAATCTATCGTTGCTATAACGATTCATATACGAATAATTCGTGGAAGAATTTCGTACGAACAAACAACTGACCCATATAGGAATTGTACCGTGTGACAATGCGTATGCACTAGCACATTTTGTATGTAGAACGATACTCGTGTAATAAAAGGTTTAAAAATATAAAGGGTGACTCTTAACTAGTTTCCACACAATCTAACATGGAAACAATTTTATTTTCCCGGTTAATTTGTTTCCCTATTCAAACTATATATTGTTCGCTTGGAAAGGTTATTTGTTTACTTTACGTTTTGTTACATTATTGAGCAGGTTATTGATATCGTTGTATCTAATGTTTTATTTTTCAAATATCTTATCACAATTATCGATATTACGTCACGTGCGTATCAATATTTTCTCAAAATTGAACGATCTTTTGATATTACGGAAAAAATATGCGTCATTTCGTTTAAGAAATTTAAATTGGCGTTCATACGTTCCTCGAGGACCATCATTTAAATTATGAACGAGTTCAACTACAATATCCATTACCCTTCGCGAAGTTTTACAACTTTTTTTGTCTGCAACACATTAATCGATATCTCGTTTCGCTTTTGAAAAAATTGACCTGATCGCTATTAACGTTCCATTCTGTATAAACATACGGGGACGTGTACTTTTTTTTATTTTCTATTTTTTTTTGTTTGTTAAGAGAAAAGACCGGATCAACTGGAAGATAATGTCACCTAACCAGTTTGACTTTAATTTATTGAAATACTCCAACAAATATCATAGTAATCAAATAAATATATAAATATGTAATTATTTTATAATAATAATTAATAAAAATCATGATTAAAATATTGATTGATTGATTGATATTATTTTTTCACACTCTATAAATTAGCATATATTTTTGAAGCATAATTTCATTTAGATCAAGCGAAGTGATATATTCATATACCTATATCCGGCTTTATGCCAATTCAACATGTAAGTATGCATAATATATGCAGTGGGATGAGATGATCGCTCGATGACCTTTCTACGAGAAACGAAACACGTTTACCGATCGTTCATGACTCTCAAGTGATCATTATCGATACTTCAATTTTTACGATAATTATCATTATGCACTTTCTTATACGCATATATATATATATATATGCATATGCGCATGTATCCATTCCTACAGAGATTAACAAATTAATAAAAAAGCGTTCCAACGATATATATAGAAGGGCCTTGATTAGCCAATATGATCAGAAGATAAATGACCCGGATTTTTGTGTCTATGTATTTGATTTATTTTTTCTTTATTTTTACTCTACTTCTATTATTTATTATTTATATTTATATTGTTTATCAACTTTTTTTTGTTTTACTTTATTCTCTTTCTTTTTATTGTTTTTTCTTTTTTTTTTATGTAATAATGGATTTATCCCGTCAACGAACAAATAAATAAATAACCATGATCTCGATTAATCGAAATTTCGGATAAATGTGATTCGATAAATCGAAGTCTTACTCGTTGTGCCGTTTAAACGATTGTACTCGACGTAATCAGAAATATTTTGCAAAAATATTATTATTATTATTATTAATATTATTACTATTGTTATTATTATTATTATTATTATTATTATTTGTTGCAAATAATTTTTTAGCGCAATATTCTCGAAGAGAAAAACAATCGTTGGTATATTTGGACTTAAAGATAAAAATTGATTAGAGTAATGGTAACAAACAAAGATAATATATTTTGATGGAGGTTAGGTGCCCTTTTTGATCATCGTGAACGAAGATGACGACGACACACGATGTCTCGGATCACACACAATGAAGAGAATTAATATAAAGAGTAATGCGTCTCGTTTCCCCCGATTGATAAAGAACGCTTATAGATTGATGTAATAGGGAAGCGTTCGATACACGCATACTGTGCTCTATTTAAAACGAGCCTAAGTCCTTGAGACTTGTTAGTTTGGCGTACCGAAAAAGTATACGTTTTCGAAGTATATTCAAACAAACGAACGTTCTATTTCAATTTTAGTCAAAAAAGATTCATTTCTAAAAACGCATATTATATAATAATTGAATTAATTCGACGAATGAAAAAAAGGCGCGAATTTCAAAAAGAAATTAAAAATGAAGATATTAACCGCCTTTTTTGGTCAATGCTCTCGGGTAAGGTTAGACATTTAGATTTTTGAATGTAACATTCTTGACATTTATAGCATTTGATATACTGGTTCAATTAAGTAGGATTAAAAGATGATCGATTATGATAAAAAAGATATATGATACGACGATGATGATAAGCATAATAATGATAATAATAATAATCAAAATAATGAAAATAAGAAATTAAAAATAAGAATACCTGTTTCCCGCGTATGACGACAACAAGCGCGGCACCCGCTGCCGTAAGGGCCCACGTGAAGAGTGTCCCTAAAAGGGCCTGTACAATTGGTGAATATTCCTTCAACATCTTTCCTTATTTCAATGAAATTTGTTAACTTTTCTCTTTTGTCTTCTTTTTTTCTTTCACCAAATAATTTAATTCGTCGAAACACGTTGCATTACTATCATTCGAGCAAATAAACCCGAAGCGAACGTGTGCCACGAGAAAACTGTTTCGCGGGAAGCGAAAATCACAACGGCGAACCACACTCAGTCCCCCGCGCTTATCTTAGCTGCCACCACTGCTATTACTACTACTAATGCTGCTACTGCAACTCCATTACCACCTCCACCTCTACCTCTAACACCAACATCACCACACCACTAATACATCGTTTCACCATTCCAACGCGACACTTTAGCAAAACGTAAGTATTATATGCTTATTAGTTTCCTTATATTAAAACAACTACCACTATCAACACCACCTACCACTTTTCTACTGTCTACTACTACTATCAATACCAAACTACCGCCCACACTACTTGTTATCGGTATTTCATACGTCAATGTACTTATCTCGACTGACCAATTAATACACGCGCGCTTTTCTCTCACTCTCTCTCTTTCTCTTTTTTCAGATTTACGCCTTGGATCTGTCAATTCTAACTTTCGAGTCACCACACATTTAGGAAAATGTACCTCGTTCGTTACACCATATATGAAGAACCTCGATCGAAGCGCCATCTTCCTCTCTCTCTCTCTCTCTTTTTAACTTTAGCTTTCTTTTTTTACCTGCCACCTTTGCAATAACACGCGATTGGTCGATTGGTGTGCCATCGACCAGCCATGTTTAATATACCTTTTATTAGAATTTTATAAAAGAAATTCATTTTACATTAGCTTGAAATATTTTTACTATGATTTATCGATAATTTATTTTTTATCTATAACAAAATTATTTTTCATATTTTACAAATTTTAGATCGTTACGTAAAATATCGATATATGATAAAATATGCAATCATTAATTCGATGAAATATCTATTATATATAGATATAATTCTAATTTTAGTTTATTATTTATGCTAGTATTATCGTAAAAATGTTTTTTCGCATGATATTTATTCTCTAGAAATAATTATTGATTGATATTACTACAAAAAATGTTTTCAGTGCTCATAAAAGATAATTTATAAAAAGTTAACCATTACTAATCAACTATTGCATCTACGTGTTCTTTTCATTTAGTTTTCAGAAAATATTGATTATTGTAACTATTATCAGTTTTATACTATTATCATGACAATATATTTACCGAATTGATAAGTAGAAAATAACGTTGAAAATATTTTTCTTCAGCACGAGTATCCGTTCGTTGCCGCGAAAACGTAGCCGCCATGATTAACGATTTGATTGGATGTTATATCTTTTCTACTTGGTCACGTGATCTCAAAAACAATTGACAATATATAATTAAATATATTTATATATTATTATTATTTAATAACAAAATTTCATAGTTAATATAATTTTACCATTGTAATGAATTATTTGAAAGAATTTTCTTTAATATCGTTATCTGTTTAAATTTGTCATTTTATTCAATATCCCGCGTATATTCTTCCTCGATGTTACGCGCGTGGGACGCACTGCAGCGCTGCAATCGCGAGTGGTATTAGCAGACGACAAAACGCGTCGTGTTGTCAATGCGTCTGTCAACCAATGTGCCAACATGGCGTCTGCTTCGGTAGGTGCATGAGAGAAAATCCTGCGTTTGTAGTGTATCTTTATACTAATACTGCTAACGTGCTTCGATCGTAGTATCTAATTATATATTTATGCTTAGAACGAGATATAAAAAAACCGAGACGTTTTTTATCGAGGAAGCCGAAATATCTCGTTAGACTAGCTCGTTGGAAGAACTTTACTGACATATCCATAAAGAATTACCGTATGTATTACTTGTTAGAGGATGACATCGGTCTAATACATACGATGAAAAAATCGAATATTTCTAATCTCCAAACGAACGTTAGATACATTCGAGATAACCTGACGATGTTATTTTTGTATTTCATTTATTTTATTGTTATTACTCGCACAATGTGTTTTAAACAGAACGTTCGTTTTTCTTTGCTCGTTTCGCTCGATTGTTCAATTTGCATATTACATTATTTTAGTTTTAATTCTTTGTTTTAACTTAATTGTAATAGAAAAAGAAAGATTATTTGTCTATGTCGGTTTTTAGGTACCTTTACTGATGGATGACGATACCATAGCCTTCGGAGAGGAGGATGAAGTTGTTCAAAGCGACAAACTCAAGTATGCATTATTTAAATAAGATATAGGAGGAGATATCTTTGTTTATGAAATATAAAATGTTATTTTTCGTCTTAGGCATCCCTACGTTACCATATTCCATCTGGCATTTAGAATATCAGCTATAGTAGTTTATATGATGTGTCAATTATTTTCCAATAGTTTTATTGCTAGCTTTGTCGTTGTTGTACTTCTCTTGTCAATGGATTTTTGGACAGTTAAAAATATAACCGGAAGATTGATGGTGGGACTTAGATGGTGGAATTATATAGACGACAATGGGAAGAGCAACTGGGTATTTGAATCTAAAAAGGTTTGGCTGGTTCTTTTATTTTTAATGAACCTTTTTCAAATATATTTTATATTTCTTTTTGATTGTTCTTCTCTTCATACATCTTAATTATAGTTTATTTTAACTGGTATACCTTCAAAAATATAGTTCAAGATTATCAAGTAGAGATAATGTTTATATCCTTGATGCTTTTATTCTTTTCTTTTATTATTATTCATTTCACCTTCGAATCGATATTTAAACGTTATGCAAATTTTAATAATAAGCGACTATTCATAAGGATGATTATTGTCAAGAGATTCCTGCAAATTTCTGTTATGTGCCCTGTGTTTCAGGGTCCCCAACAGAATCGTATTAATGTGGCAGAGGCACGTATCTTTTGGTTGGCATTAATATTGTGTCCACTTTTGTGGTCTATATTATTTATCACTGCCTTGTTTCGTTTAAACTTTCAATGGCTTTTACTCGTATGTATTGCTATCATTTTAAATGGGGCCAATCTTTATGGATATGTGAAATGTAAAATGGGAGGTGATCAGTATATTTCAACGGCTACCAGTGATTTCTTTAGGAAACAAATTATACAAAACGTTAGTAATTAATATTTAGTGATCAATAGGAAAGGATAGGAATACAGAATGTTAATTTATTTCAAGGTTGCGTCGATGATGACGAGGAGCCCAGCAACAAATAATCCAAATCAACAAACTAATGTAATATAAAAAAACCGTCTTTTGTAAGTATAATGATGTGTATGAAAAAATTAATAATAATGTTGTAAATGTCTATTGGGTGAATGATGATATGCTTGTAAATAATGATATTAGTTATTAAAGTATAAGTACTCTGTAATAAAATTATTATTTGAAAATGTGTGCTTAAAAAAAAAAAAAACCTGTAATTGTTTTAAACTCCTTTTCTACATCATGCAAAAGACAATACTTTATGACGTTAGTTACTAGTTTATTGATGCCACAAGGCAATACATAATGTACACGGTATTTCTCCTTGTCAACAGACTCTTTCTATTACACCATATTTAATTTGTATAGTAGTTTTTTATTAGTAACATTGCATTTATCGTATTCACCTCAGCCTGCTGTATTCTTTCTGGCGAGAAGGTATCACAAAATAATTTCCCATTCTTTCAACGATATTTAGTATTTGACTTTCTGTCATTCTATTCTGTCTTTTTAAACTCACATTCTTCCTTGGATCTGAGACCATAATATCATTTGACCGATTCATCTATAGATATAGATGAACTTTGCAACTTGATCTTATACATATTACCAAACTCGTTACATATTGCATGGAGCAGCACATTTTGGTAATCGATCGAATTTTATTAACGTTCGTGAAAATTGCTCCGAAGATTACGAGTCATAAGTGTTTTCAAGAAGAAGAATACAACAAACCACATATTGCTATACATTTTCGGTTAAAAAAAAAATAATCAAGATTACTGGCAAATACGGATCTAAATTACAACATATACTTAAAAAGAATTTCGTCGAAATTATATAAAATAACTTAAATATCCGATGTTAGAATTAGTACGTTACAAATACGTGAATATCGTGGACTTTGTGTTTGTAACTTTTGTGAGTACAGATTATTAATGCTACCAACTTATCGCTAGTAATATGTTTTTTTACAACAATTGAACTTCTTTTAACACATTTTGCGCTTAGCCTGGAACTTTGAAACATGAAGTCATTGAGAAACTTGGCAAAATACACTCGGGTAGTATAATTACATGTCATTTTATAGATTAAGAGGTGTCCCACAAAAGTGGCTCCACTTATTTTAAATGCACGTTTTTTATTTATTTATTTATTTATTTACTCATTTATTTATTTATTTATTTATTTATTTAATTATTTATTTATTTGTCTGATTTTTAAATACTTCGATTAGAACTTGACGGTGCAAGGAACACCAGAAGAGAACAAACTGTTTATTAAGTCAGTATGAATATGTTTCTATCACAACGATCTTTTGAAAATTATTTGTAACGTTTGAAGTCTTTCTCTCTTTTTTTTTCTCTATAAAGATCATTATTTAGAAGAACTCTGATAAATACAAGGGCGTGTTTCACTATTTCTTCTTTTTCTTTTTTTTCTTCTCTTTTTCATTTTCATCTATAATTTCTGTAAGCTATCATTCGTATTCGGAACAAGATAGAATAAAATGACGCGCAGAAATATTCACACTGAACGATATAAAGCAGTGGTATGTAACACTGAAGGATGAAATTTTCACACGAAATCGACATAAGTTTATTTAGTTATAATAGTAATAATAATAATATATATATATATGTATTTACAGTCCAACCACAAGAACTACTAGGATTTTTTAATAATAAGATGTCATTAAAAGAGTATCGGCTGATAATAATTTTTTTGTTCTTCTCAACAATTTATGTTTTTTTTTTTTTTTTTTTTCATTTTAACGTATAAAAATTGGGTATATAGAAAGCTAAATATCAGTCGGACCGTTTTGTATATTTATGGTTTAAATCACATTTCAATGAAACAAGTAAACTTGCTCTTTTTTTTTCGTCGAGTCTTTTTATATGAATATAATAATATTTGATCTCTCGTGTTTAGTTCAAACTAATATAGAAGATTTGGAATCTGTGTAGGAATTTACACGCGCAATTTAAATGTTTTCTTTTTTTTTTTATGAGATATCTTAAACATCGAAATAAATATTATCCAAACGCGACGCGGAAAATATATATATATATATATTCCTTAGTATTCAATCAGCTCGATAATCTTATTTGTCTTTTTATTTCTCCTTCAGCATTCACAAATACCTTACAATTAATAAAAAATAAAAATGGGAGCTGCGCTGCTAAACGTTATATTGTGGTCATACAACATGTACAATATCTCTTAGAAAAAGAATACGAGCCAACTTTAGTGAGATCCTTCGATACTAGTTGTACTTCTCAATAATGTGAAGTCGCATAAAGTTTTTATCTCCATGCCGTTATAATGTTATTTTCAAATAAGTTTAGGTATTATTTGCTTATCGACAGGGAAAACATCATATACATATCTACTTCCAGCGCAGTAACGTTGACGTAAGGTTTCCATTTTCATGTCAAATTTGTATAAAAACTAAATATAAGTTTACATGATAACGATACTAGTAAACGAATCGATTAAAAACTATGAATAATGCGTGAACAAATACGATAAATAATTTATGAAACGATGGCAGTTGTTGTTTATTTTTTTTTTGGAAAGAAAGAAAAATATTTAAGTACTTTATTTCAGTACAAAAGTTATAGCTGCGAGTTAAAGCAGATCTACCGGAGCTGCTGCGTTCTTGGATATATTTTGAAAATATATCACTACGCATGGCTTTGAGAATTTATACCAATGAATCAAATGACGTTGCAAATAAATATAGAGACTCTTACGAGCGTTACAATCTATATATATATATATATATTTATATATTCTCAGTCTATATGAAGTAAATTTTATTTAAAAAAGAAAGAAGATATTATTTTGTAAAGACGTGGCGTATAGAATTTGTAAAAACATTGGGAGGGGGGAGGGACCGATTAAAAAGTATCAAAAAATATGTTAAAACATCTAAATGAAACCTAAACAAACGAAATATCGTGATATGGGACATGCTTTTTTTTTTTTTTTTTTAAATAAAACAGATTATTATATTCTGATAGTCTGGAAAATATCCACACATTATTATGCACATCCACTTCTCTTTTATGATATTTATAATATATATCTATGTATATATATTATTCATCATCTTATGTATATATAATGTTGTTAATGACAAACGGTGCATTTATGTACACTTAGTCACAATTCCTGACCCTCGAACCAATTTTTAAATAATAATAGTACAAACATACAATTTTGGAAGAGTTAACATTTCTTCCTTCTGTAAAAATAATGATAAAATTCAACGAATAATGAAAAAAAGGATAAAAATCTCTATTTCAGAAACACAAATACGCGATTTCAAATAGTTTATTCTATTAAATTATAAAAAATAAGATTTTCAGGAAAATATCTAAAGCAAAAATAGAAAAGTTTGATTAAAAACGCGAATCAACAAATATTTTCTGAATAAAATTTTATCAGTTTAGGTATTATTTTGGTATTTTGCAATAAAAACAAATATATTTCGTACGTCCGATAGAAAATGTTCAATCGACGATAAATGAAATTAGTCCAATTATAATTTTGAAGATGAGATAATAATAATAGACGAGGTAGAAGCTTAGATTTGAAAGTTTGTACATAAGGATTCGAGGGTATCGGATTATAATACGGGAGTCCAACATACACAGTGCTTCTATTAAATAATATTTATAGAATTATGCACAATCTTCATGTGTGCATATTTCTCATTAAATATAGGCACCGTTTCCTCTTTCATCCTTCTTCTTTCACAATGTCATCTTTGTTCTAATGGTGTCACTTATATTCTAAATTCTTAAAACGATTTCGCTTATAATCTATTGTAAAGTTACAATAAGTAATGAGAGAAGATACCTATCGTGCATAATGGGTACAGCATTAATTGTCAATTTGGCAGTATGGCAAGTTTCCTGTGTTAGTTTGCGGAAATTTTCATGTCTCTTCTTCCTTGTTAATCCACATCGAGAAGCATTTGTTTCTGTCTAATCCTTTTTTTCTCAAGAGTTACTCGTTACAATTAATTTCCATCGATAAGTACTCGTTAATGTGTGCCACGTTATCATCAACCACTTAAGTTGTAGAGCTTCACAAAGAGTAACTAACTGTGCTTTTCTAATTATTAGTCTTTTTCCTTTTCTTCTTCTTCTTTTTCTTCTTTTTCTTCTTCTTTTTATTCTTCATTTTCTTCTTCTTCTTCTATTTTTATTTTCATAGAAATATACGAGAGAAACGTTTGTGTTGTAGCTTGAAGTTTTTTCTCTGCAGCTGTTAATTTAACGATGGAAGCACTTTTCTTCGATAAACAAGATTCAAGTTTTTCGCGTTACTTTGTCTTTTCATTTTACGAGAGAATCGTAAAATTCATATATATCATTATTATTATCATTATTATTATTATTATTATTATTATTATTATTAATATTATTATTATTATTATTATTATTATTATTAATATTATAAAGAGAGAGAGTAGAGAGAGAGAGAGAGAGAGAGACATGCTTTTAGTATTTTATTATTTCTTTATTTTTTCCATCCTCTTTGTTTAAATCTTAATAGTTAGAATACTACCTAAGCTTCGATAAAGAAATTCTTAAAAGACTTCAAAAAATTTAGCTGCAAAGAATGTTTCCATAAGTGAGATAACTCTCATATAAGTTTATCAGGATATGTTCCAATTCGGAGATTTGGGATCGTACGATCGAGGGTCGTCGTTCGAATTTTGATTTTGATATACACGTCGACGTTGCGTTGCGGGCATTGGTTAGCTTGTTTATTCGTTTATCCGAAAAATTATTTGAACGTTGAACGTCGAACGAGACGTATAATCAGTTATGGTTCTCTCATCCGAGAGAACGATATGATCGGATTTCTTCAGACAATATTATCCTCAATTTCTTCTTTTATCTTTCTTTATGTATTTATTTTTATTCTGTTTCTTCTTTCTGTTCTTCTTATTGTGATTTTGTATAAAGTAAAAAAAGTGTGTCTCGAAAAAGAGAGAGATGAATTATGGTCGCTCGTATCATCGACGAGGAGGATATTTAACGTACATACACTTAAGCGGCAGTTTTTTTCTTACCTCGCTAGAGCTAGTTAGCTACAATTGCGAGAGTTCAGTTTTTTCTTTTACCTTCGAATTCTAATCTATTTTTTAACGACAATTTTTTCTTCATCTTCTTAATTTTCTTCTTCTTATTCTTCTTCTAAGTTTCGTACGTTTTTTTTATCAGGATAAAAGTTGTGTGAATGCTTTCTATACTGTATWTKTWTTTTTTTTTTTTTTTTTYTTTTTTTTTWWA